GAAGTTGATTCTCGTTTGTGCATGAAGCCGGAGATTGAGAAGATCAAAGACAGCCCAATTGCTTCCTTTCGTGACCTCGTTTCTCAGGCCGTTCCTGCCGTTGATTCCTCAATTGTCCTTTACGGCTTTCGCTCAACAACCCATCCAGGTGCCTCAAAGGGTGACTTCATCTTGCAGTGCATCATCAAGGCTCCGCAACCACTTCGAGTCCCGATGCTGGATGCCAGTGGTGCCTCGATTTTGTTGGTGCGTGACTTCCTCGAAAGAAGACAAGCCTCCACGGACACAACGATCTTACCCAGGTTCTGGGTTCCTTCGACTGCTGAGCTGCATAGCATGCGCATTGCCTTGAAAGACGCACCCGGACAAGCCGGCGTCATTGTTGCAAGACGCGGACTCGCACCACGTGTTTGGATCTCCAAATTGAGCGAGGCTCGGAAGACTCTGCTTGCAGCTGACGGCCGCATTGTTGATGCCAACCGGCATGTGATCCCCCGTTTGACCTATGAACTCGCCGGTTGGCCGGCTGGAACTGATGCAGCCAACATCGTCCGTTCGACCTTGGATTCGACTGGTGCTGCCGTGTTGCCAATGAGGACTTTCCGCAATGCAGGTGTCCATGTGTGGATCGTTGCATGTGAAAAGGAGATTTCTGCCGAGCAATTCTCCATTGAAATCAATGGTCATGTTCACCAGATTCTCATCCAGCAGCTTGCTTCGGGTCAAGGATCCAAGGGTGCTCCCAAGCAAGGTTCCAAAGGGGCCGGCAAGAGTAAGAAGCAGCGTCAGGCTCAGGAGCCTTCTGCGTGGGCTGGACACCTCTTGCCCCCAAAGGCTTCGGCGGACGATGCACGCCTTGACAATCTTGAGGCTCGGTTTGATCGCCTCGAAAGCCGCCAGCAGCAGTTTGAAGGCAAGGTTGACAGCAAGTTTGATAGTATCAGTGATGCCTTGCGCCAGCTCCTGGCAAACGCGAACCCACGTGCCCGTGAGCCAAGCGGCGAATCGCCGCCTTCGAAGGCCCATCAAGGCTCATGATGCCTTTGGGTGGGGCTGGACTGCCTCCACCTTCGCGATTTGTGCCTGCTAGCCGACGGTTTGATTTGCCATCTGGCTGTTTCGGTCTTCCTTGTCTTTCACCTTGTCTCGTCTTTGTTCTCTGTGTCTCGTTTGTGGAGGCCCAGCTTCACCGGGCCTGTTCTCCTGGGGTCCGCATTCTCTTTCAGAGCATGCGCTTTGGATTTCGAGGTCTTCGTTGGTGCTTTCGCCATCGGGATACGACATGTGATCCCTTTCGCCCTCATTTCCGGTTAATCTTTTGCCTCTGCTGGGCCAACGCCGTGGCCTCTTTTCGTTTGTGCTGTCCCTGTCTCTACTACATGGACGATCTGTGTTTTGGTTCCTGCCATGGCTTACAGCAGCCTCAATTCATGGGTTCTAGCGACCAGAGCTGGGCGACTTCCAGCTTTCAGTTTTGGCGAGACGAAAATGTCAGCTGCTGTGCTTCAGCCAGCTTTCACTCAGTTCGCCTTTGACCGCACCTTAGGTTATCCAGGGAGGGGCCGGGGAGGGGCCTATCGATGATGCAGATAACAGCATGACGCTCCTTTCGGCCAACATAGGTTCCTTTCGTACTAACACATCATGGAAAACATGGAATGCAGATGTTTGCTGCCTGCAGGAAACCCGAATTGGCAAGGCCAACCTCCGTTCTACTCAGAATGCTGTTAAGGCATTGGGCCAACGAATTACCACCAGTGACCCACTTCCGGTGAAGTGGCATAAATCAGGATCCATCACACCGTGTGGTGGCACAGCCATCATTGCCCCTGACTCCATCATCCAACCTTTTGAACCTGCTCATGACCAAACGGGGTTGTTTGCCTCCTTGTTTCGTACTCAGAGGTTCAATGCGGCATGGATCCAGATTTCCCCCTCCAGCAGGGCCTTGGTCATTTCCATTTATGCCTGCGCCGGCGCCTCACAAGACCAAACCATCCACGCCAAAAACGACCAGATGTTTTCGGACATCTTCAGTTTTGTTGCGCAGTTTGGCCCCATACCTATTATTGTTGCTGGGGATCTCCAAGCCGAACCCTCTAGCTACTCGAGTATTGCAAACTGTGTTGCATTTCATGGCTGGTTTGACCCAATCCAGGTTGTGGATGGCACCGGGCACACCACAAGACCCCTGACCTTTTCTCGTGATGGAACGTTTTCTGGAAGCGACGATGCCACTTCGTCCATCGATGCCGTTCTCGTTAACAGTTCTGCCTTTTTCGCTCTCAAATCGGCAGAGGTTGTGCCTGTAATCGGTAAGCAGCATCGCCCGATCAAGTTGATGTTTCAGTGGCGCTCCATCCAACAAGTGGTTTACACCTTGTTTAAAAGTGCACCCTTCCTGCCGGAGACCCTCAAGACCTCCACTTGGCATGATGATGTGAGTTCTTGCTGGCCACAGTTCTCTGCCAGATTTGATGGGTGTAATGACAGCGAATCCAAGTGGTCTATCATTAATGAGTTTCTTGTTCAATCCTTGAAGTCCGAAGGTGCCAAATGGGGGAAAGGACCCCAAACCAGAGGTGAACCCCCGGTTTTCATCTCGAAACGGGTTGTCCCGAAGCAGCATCGTAATTTCTGTGCTGCCACCAAGAAGTCTACTGCCCTGTACAAGCTTGTTGGCCGACTGCAGGAACTGTTTTGTCGTCTGTCACGACCCCCTGGAAGTCAGACCGGTTTGACACAAAACAAACTGCCTACCGCGCCTTCAAAAGTTTGAGACAACATCAAGCTCTGATTGTTTGGTCGCATCCAACCTTTCCGACTCTTGCGGAGGTATTTCTTGCTCGAAAGTGGGCAGAAGCTGCAGCATCACTCCTTGATTCCCAAATCCGAGTGAACCGCTTGAAGAATTGGAAAATAGAATCAAGGAATCAGCCAGGGGTAACTGTCACTTCATCTACAAGCACCTCCGTAACTGTGCTCAGGATGAACCCCCCAATTTGGTCCGATGCTGGCCAAATCATTTACCAGCCGAATTTAGCCCTTGACCAGATTAATCGTGCTTGGGACACGGTTTACTCGGCCAATGTGGGATACGAACAACCGCTCAAGATCCTCGAAACTGTGTGGCCTTGTATCCAGAACCAAATTCATCAGTGTGACCTTCCACCGATTCAAGGGAAGCAGCTTTTTGAGACCATCCACCGACGAAAGTGCCATGCCGCTCCTGGCCTGGATGGCTGGCGGACGCTCGAATTGCAGGCTTTACCAGCCCCTTGTTTTGAACCGGTCGCAAAATTTTCATGTTTATTGAAGAATCCGATGAACCCCTGCCGAATGCACTCACATGTGCGAAACAGTGTATCCTTAATAAGAAAGGCCCTGCTGCTGCCCTAAATAAACGGATCATCATTGTTTTGCCGGCATTGCTCTTGGCCTATACAGGCAGTCGATATAGACAGCTGCAATCCTGGTTGCTTGCATCTCTTCCCCCGGCGATTCTAGGAGGGGTCCAAGACCGTCATATGGCTTCTTTATATAATGAAGTTAGACTTGAACTGGACCTCGCCCAAGGTGACTCCTCACCGGTGGTTGGTGTCAAGCTCGACAAATCCAAAGCCTTGGACCGCATCGTTCCAGCTTATGCAGCTGTGCTCATGCTTGCCTTTGGTTTGCCAAAGCAGCTCGTGAATGTCTTTGTCAAGCTTTATCGGTCATTGCATTGCCACATGGCATACCGTAACTGGGTCCGTCCGATTGCCACCACCGCTGCAAACGGAGTTGCTCAAGGTTGCAGTCTCTCCCTACTAGCTATGAATATGTACAATAAAGTATGGTACCATCTCTTGGAACATTTGCCAGGAATCTCAGCGCGGGCCTTTGTAGATGACTCATATCTGTGGTGCAAGTTGAACCACATTCATGATTTGCGAGCTGCCATCCAAATTACCCAGCTTTGGGACCAGCTAGTTGGCCAACTCTTCAACCCAAATAAGTCCTCCATGTGGTCCTCCCACACTGACAAAAGTCACCTGGTCGATGGAGTGGCGCCCAACATGGCTCCACACCAGTTTGTGGTCCAGAAGCACTACATCGTGTGTGAACGATGTGGCCAAAGACTTTTGAAGAACTCTTCAAAGGAAAAGCTGACAGAGCTCAGCATGGCAGAGTGCTGGAACGATCCTTGGCCTTTGCCAGCTCAGTGGACGGGTCACAAGTCGCACAAACTTTGGAGAAAAGGATCCAAAGTTCATTGCACAGAGTGCATGGCGTATGGCCATAATAAAGCCGGCTGCATCACACCCAGCAAGCAGCTGTTGAAAGCCTGCGGAAAGCAGATGCAAGGCACTTTGCCGCAGTGTTTTCGACCCAAGGGGGTCACCGACTAGCACAGAAAAGGAGTGCAGAAAAAATATGCACACATGATCGCACATACATATATATATATATGTATAGTTATAACTATATATATGTATAGATATAACTATATATATATACACATATATAATCCTGATTATTCTACTTTTACATTTTTTTAAAGCCAACAATTTGAGAAATCGATGTCCGCAACGGCAGCGATAACGTTTTTGTTTTGTTTGTTTTTTTAACCGAACTTTTGAACCATCCACGGTGGTTTCAGCAGCACGAGTCTGCCAGTTTGCACAGAAAACATATACATATACAGCAAACTTGGGATGCTTTCTGAAACCGGGGCGTCGTCAAGACTGAGTCCGAGGGCCACTTTTTGAGTAGAAACATCCAGCCAAGAATATTTGTGTGAACAACAGCCCTTGAGGGCTCTGTGAGTAACCTTGAGTATCGCACGCGGTCAATCTTGAGGATCAGGGCCTGCCTCAGTCAGATCCAACTTTCAGGTGTGAAGGCGTAAACCTCTTTGACATTGTTTCACAGATTGGGAAGATCTATACAACTGTTTGGTCCTCCACACGATTCAGGGCACAACTCCGGTGAAGGTTTCCAAGGTAACTGCGTCGCAGGACATGGATCGAATGGAGAGATTGTTGCATGCAGCTGCCTTGGTCTGGTGCCCCTCCTCAGTTGGTGGGCCGCTGACTTGGCAGGACATGTTGGCGTTTTTAGGCATTCTTAACTCAAGCAACAATTACACTGAGTGCCCCCTGCTTTAGAATTTAGAACAATTTGCATTTCTGACAGTACCTGCTTTTGAAAGAAGCATTGGGTCCAAGCTGTTGCAAGTTGGGAACCACAAACACAAAGAAACACCCTTTTGTGATTTGCCACACTCCAGGTGGCGTAAGCATCGAGCTTTGTCCCCATCGATGTTGCCGACAGAGGACGCGTTTTCTGTCTTGCATGATCTCGGGTTGCCGAAAGAGGGTGAGAAGACGAATTGAGATTTAATGCTTTGCTTTGTGATTTGCACCCCCAAAAAGATATTGAGATTTCTGAGACGACCAAGCATCACTTGAGTGACCGGCAGCTGGCTTCCCACCTTCGACCTGGCTCAAGTGCGAAACCCTGGACCACGCGAAACGGATCCGGTGGCCGATCCAGTGGTTCACACCATGCGGGCAGCCTCGGATGCAAAGAAGCTGCTGAAGATTCGCACCGGTGGCATTTGCGTGAGCGAGAATTCCGCGCCTGAAACCGTCGGAATTACCTATGAGCTTTGCAATTCCTCTGACATGAGCGTTTGCTGGGACACCGAGAATATGTCCTTTGGTGATTATCCCGTGGGTGGAGAGGAGTCCGCCTTGAGTATTGCGGCGGTGCACAGCTATCTGAAGGTCTCGGGCGCCGGAGGGGACGACGCCGATGATGGGGTCAACGAGGTGAATGGCATCTACGTCATGACCAACAATTCCTTTTCGCCTGAATACTATCAATACCCGTTTGGAGACGGGCGCCTCATGTATGACGGGGGGAAATGGATTCTCTACAACAACGTGTACGGTTCCGAGAACCATTACTACGAAGTGGAGTGTGAGAGTCTGAACATCCCTGACAAGGGATGGAAGCCCATGGAAGGTTGGGAAGAGGAGATGCAAAACCCGCCAACCATCAGCAAGCATGAGCTGAAGGAGGGGCAAGATGTGAAACTTCGGAAGTTGCATCCTGACAGTCATATCCCTGCTGCCCAGTACCCTGGAGCTCCATGTCCTTTCATGCATGGTGACATCTGCACCGTGGAACGTATCGAAGGGCTCTTCTTTGCTCCTAAGATCTCGCCTGATCAGTGGATTCCCTTGCGGGCAGCGATCCCTGTGGAGGCCTTGCCGGAAGACGAACAGGAGGGGGATCGCCTTGAGAAGCGCGCGCCCAAGGCCAAGGCCAAGCCGGCGGGCAAGGCGAAGGCGAAGGCGAAGGCGGTCGCCGCGGTCGCAAAGGCGGGGGAGGAAAGAGATGAGATTCTCAGTGTGCTGAAGAGCCTGGTGCAGAAGGTGGAGAACTTGGAGACTGAGGTGAAGAAGCTGCAGAAATGAGGCAGCTCAGATCATTGGAGTTTCAACCTTGGCGCAGTTTCCCAAAGGGAACAGGAATGACATGCTGTACGTCACTGGTGACCCTGGAGAAAGTCAATTCCAAGGTCCGCAGACGAGAGAACTCAGGCAAAAGGATGTAAAGTGGCGTGGTTGCGATTGTGACGTCAACAGTTGTACAAGCTTAGCAGGATCTACAGCAAACGCTCATGAAGCCTAGGCCTGTTGCACTAGCCATGTCTCCACTGCATATCTTTCGGCAGGGTGTGGGTGACGAAGACAAGGCCAGTCTGTCAAGAGAGCTGGCTCGAAGCTCAGTTGCTTTGGAGCTTGCTGAAAAAGCGGGTCAGAACTCTCATGTGCCTCTTCTCAAACAGCTTTGCCCACCCCACCGTGGTAGTCGTTGCTCCTTTCCGGCTTCCTTTGACCCAAAAGTGGTCGCATCTTTCCTCTGAGAACCCCCACCAGGTCTGAAGAGAAGAGGGCAAATGATCGATTGAAAGCTCTTTTTACTATTTAGAAAGCTCATGACACAAAAGAAGACCAACGACCAAGACTCGCGACTCGCGACAAGCCGTGCGCGGGCGACTTGTGGAAACCCTTGCAGATTGGCCATGGGCTCTTGCAATACATCACCAGCGCGCAAGTGCTGCCATGGCCTCAAAGGGATCAAGCAACCATGCTTTGATGATGTGGCGAGTGTGGCTACCGTGAGCCTGGAGGCTTTTTATATGTTTGGTCTCATAGGAGGCTCGTAGTGCACGGTGCATGGCGCACAAGTGGTGATTTCAGATCATCCAAGCTAGCCGCTAACTCTAAACCCTGATTGCTTCCGTTCGTAGCGATGCCAGGAGCCCCGTTCGTAGCTTCTTGTTCCTAGTAGTAAGGCCAGGAGCCCCTAGTAGCGTCCGATCGCTCCTGGCCTCATGATGATTGAATATATAGCTTTTGCAACTCTCGTAGAGAGCTTTCATTTGGTGGGGATTGGTTTCCTTTGCCATGCAACTTGTAAAACTAAACTAGAGAAGTCTACTTTGTTCTGATCTAGTTTGCCAACATTGATACTGACTCGCACCATCATTACATATGGCTTGAGGTCGCAGCTGATGTTTTCCACGGTCATGCTGCATCAAGTCATTCACGGCGACGGCTGTGGAGAGACTGGGGTACCTTGGTCCTGTTGATGTGGGCAGTTTTGGATTCCTTGGTCGGTGATTGCTTGACCACCTGTTCTTCTGGGTTTTGACGGTTTCGCGGACGATCCGTGGGGTGTGAGGGAATTCGGCCGTGACTTGGGGCTGTCCTCACTTTTGAAGGAAAGCATGAATGAAGAGACCAACAACCAGGGTCCATGTCCCTCATTTCCCATTTTTTTGGTTCTCCGTGTGCCTCGAGAACACACAGAAGGGGTGTGCCCGAGCTGAGCTATGCCCTGCGGCTCGTCCTCGTCGCTGGTTTCTGACAGTTCCAAGGGCCGTCGAAGTTGCACCAATGCCGAACCCTGTGGGAACGCCAGAAGATCAAAACAGTCCGGTCTGCGTAGTGGAGTCACCAATGGGTCAGTGTGGTCTGCGTTCGTTGTGTGGGAATCCCAAAATGCCTACCCTTCCCACCAGGGCCCTTCCCACCTGCGTGGTCCACCCGGCGCCAGGCCATGAGCTATGAGGAATGGGCCAGCATGAACAAGGGCCTCGAGGAGCGACGCCTTTGCGACGTCGGCTCCCGTGTGGGCTCCGTCTGCGGGGCGTGGAAGGAACCGGAGCTTTTTGGAGCTTTTCGGTGAGACGGGTGTTTTTGGGATGTGTAGAGAACTCCGAATGGGAGAAAAGAAGAGTAGACCCGTCCAGGGGAGGAATGGCTTTTCCGCAAAACACTTGGATCGCTTGGATTCTGATTCTGACAGTCAATGGTGGCAGGTGTTCTTTTGGACGGTTGTCCCATGTTTTTCAGGGGGCCGATGTTCTCGGAGGTGAGTGACTGGGCTCGAGATTTCTCCAGGACGTCCACAAAGACATCCCAGGCTTTGTCTTGAGGCGGACGCGGCGAGAGTGGCAGGAGTTTTGATCCGCAGTTTCCTACATGTTTCGACAGATTCTAGACAAGGGACACGGGCCCGTCTGGACTCCCTGCTCTTGTGTGTGTGTGTGGCAGGCCCATCTATGAAACGATTTGCGAGAAGTTTGTGCCAGAGCTGTGCATGGCCGCATTCTCAGGAGTTATGTCCAACAAACAAACATTGAACCGGTAGAGAGGTTGTGTCGTGTTAGTGCGGTACTACGGTAGTCTCTGTCGTGTTGAAAGGATCCTTTCAGCTCCGCTCCGGCGCCAGGTTTGGCTAGGGTTTTGCATGTGCGCCCAACGCATGTGCCCCCGCACGGTTCTCGGAAACTCCATGCATCCTTGCTGAGGCGCCTAGCTCTCAAAGCTCGGAGGCTCAGTGGTTTCAGATGCCTTTTGTTACTAGTAGCGATGCCCAGGAGTAGCATACTTGCTCCTAGCAGCGATGCCCTTTGTTACTAACAGCGATGCCCTTGTTTAGTGTAACTTTCTTCCACAACCGTTGGTGGAAATGTTTCATCCCCTTTAAGCATATGGTGGACCGAAACGTGTGGCTTTCACGCGCCTGGCGACACTGAAGCACCGTTTGGGGCGGGGCTTGGCGCGGAGTGCATCAATGATCACCTCTTTCAGCGACAATCTCATCCACAAGCATTCATCCAGCAGCCGGCTGCTTGGCCATTTCAAACCCACCAAAGATTTGGACATTTTGAGAACCAACACCGAAAAAGAAACACCCAAAGAGCAAACCCTCAAAAAGCCGTTGTCGGCCGTGTGCGAGCACACGGCTCCGTGGGCGGATCGGATCGCCCAACGAGGTCCCACCTCTCGCAGCCAGCCGTGCCTTGGGTCGTGAAACGGTTCGGTTGACCGAAGAATGTCCAAATGGATCCGATTCGGATTTGGAATGGATGCGGAGGACTGAAAAAGAGTTATCTTTTTTTTTTCAAGGTTTTGGACACATTGGAATACATGGGGAATGCGAGATCTAGGTAAATATATATATATATATATATATATTTATAGAGAGGTCTTCAAAACAGGTTCGTGATTTGCACACATCTTGAAGAAGGTGCTGCTAGGCCAATAATGATTCTTTCCAAGCACACAACCCTGCCACGCCCCATTGAATTAGTTGCAATGCCCAAGACCATGCACGGGTTTGTTGGGGAACATCGTCTTCCAGAGGTCTATCAACGCCGGCTCCAAGTGTTATTTGGAGCCACGCATTTTGGGAATCCCAAAAACGTGTGTAGTCTAGTCCGTACTAGTCCGAACTCAAATTCAATGATCGCTAGGTGCTCTTTCATGAATAGCTGGATAGCTGGGGTTCCAGTAGTTGAAATATGCTGAAATAACCAACCTCGGTTGAGTTCACTTCCATGTTTGCTGAAAGAAAGGTTGATCATGTTGTTGGTGTTCAAGTTTGGAACATCAAATCAGCAAATACTTGAAGCATCCTCGCATTGTGAGCACCTTTTTTTTTTTCCGGGTGTTTCTCGCTTTCTTGCTTTCTCGTCGGGCGCGTTGAAACCCGGTAGAAGCAGGCGATCACATCTGGGAAGCGACTCGAGTTTGGGTCTCAGGGCTTGGAACGCTCGGCCCTAGTCTTTTCCCTTCGTTGAAACTTACTTTTTGAGAAGGGTCATGAGTTTGCATCAAGAGAACTGATATGCGAAGGACAGTGCATCAGCAAGTCAGCGACAACTGGACCTTTTAGTAGATTGCAGATCGTAAGACCCACTGGCACAGTCGTGCAGTAGATTCTTGTGCTTGAAATGAAGTTTTACTTATGCCACCCTCTGAAAAGGCCAGGCAAATAGATTTTTCATATTGATTGTCCGCAAACCCTAATGAACTTTGGAGATGACGCACCTCTGGTGCTTGAACTCAGGTGAAGATGAATTCATGCCATATGGACAGGTGCCAGACTCAGATGCGACCAGGGACATGGATCTTGAGAAGTCTCTGAAGTTCTTGGCACGTCGATTGAGCCCATATTTTTTTGGAGTGACGCCACCATGAACTAGAACACAGATGATCTACGACCATGGCACCTCCAAATGGATGCTTCAGTGGGGATTAGCATCCAGATCAGCCATGTCCTTTATCTTGTGGTGGCTCTCCCTCCAAACCTTCAGCGGAGGGCGGGCTCCCGTCTCGTCTCGATCCTGGAACCTGGTTTGTGCGTCGAGCCGGTGACGCCACGGTGACGCCGCGGCCGTCGCCAGGACAAAAAGGCCTCGCCCATCTCGACCAACGGCCAGGAGAGGATTTTGGTTCGACCGACGTGGATGCCCGAGCGGGATTGAACTTGCCCCTCTCCCTGGTTGGAAAGTCCGGGTTTTGAGAAAAATGGGGAACCCCCATGGTTTGCCAAAGAAATCGGTGTCTTCCTGGGTTTGCGCGTTCGGGAACCGATCTCCGAGGGAAGCGGCCTTCGGCAGGCGCAGGTGACTGGGCCTTCGGCCTTCCAGCATCTCGCACAGGCCGGACAGTGCGGGTGCTTTGGTGGTGACAAAGCTTACGAACATCTTTCCACAATGGGAGAGCATCTCTGTTTTCTCGCAAGCATGCATCTATTTTTGGGAATACTTGGGTGAGTGCATTCATCTGGGCAAAAAAAGGATACCTTGGAGAGTTCGACTGGTGTACAGAAGTGGACGTGACGTGACATGACAGAAGTGGGCGTGGGAGGCCGTGTTTGAAGCACGACCAACTGTGGGAGGCCGTGTGAAAGAACAAGTTTTTGAATTAACACACTCGTGAGTTGATATTTTTATTGCTGTACGTGTGCGTGCAAGAAAACGAGTCAACACTGAGCTGACACTTTGATGACGGTCGATCATATTGACCAGGCTTTTGTTGCAGGCACTACCAGTATACACATGCACACACCAACCGGGGATGACCAGGACCTTCGAACGTCGGAAGCCCATCGGGGGACCTGAAAAGAGTTCCTTTTTGGAGAGACAGAAGGGGCTGTGGGTCAAGATTCAAGATCAGGGCTCCGGTTTTCGTGTTCTTTCTGCCTATGCCGACTGGGAGGACCGATTGTGGACCCAGTTGTATCAGTTGACTGCTTTGGCCTTCACTGCAGGCTGAGGGCTGGGTGCAGCTCAATTGCCACTTGTCCTCCTGGCGACTTGAGCCGCAGCGACGTTTGCCACAGTGCCTTGAATCAACGTTTGCTCACCATTCAGTGGGAGAGGAGTTCTTGGAACTTCAGACGAATGCCGAATGTGGACGAGTGTGGCCTTGACTCTTTTCATGACTCGATTGAACAAGCTGAATAGGCCTGGCATATTCTGGCGCTTTCAGTTGACTGGGGCGTAAGTGTTCCAGTTCAATGTGGCCCTCATTCCAAAAGATATGATGCAACACAACATATTTAGAGTCACACCTGACTTGGTTAGACACCACATAGGATCATTGTCACATTCTGCTGACCAGACCGGAGCACACGGTTGGGTGGCAGACGGGGTGGCAGGTTGCGCTTTGCCGAACCTTCTAGGGACCGTGGGGACGGTGGTCTTCCAAATGGTCACGGTGCTACCGCTGCTCTTGCAACAAAGACCCAAATGTCATACAAACTGGACGTCTTGTGTTGTGGAGTACAAGGCAGGGTGAAACAAACGGTTTCAGGGGGACAAAGAATTTGGAACAGATTTGTCTTTCAAGTCTTTTTCCCTGATTTGGATCCTTCCCGACAACCCAAGTCGCGGTGGGCTCCCTCAGTAGATGAAGACGTCCTTCGCACGCAGCCAGGCCCATCGTGGCAAGCCAGCAGATTCGACCGGGGAGCGAGACCCTAAGTGAGGCGGATGGATTTGGAAGCGGGGAAAGACGGTTTTTGGCGGTTTTTGGGCGGCTGCTTTCGCTTTGCTGGATGTTTGCCTTTGCTTTGGATGAAGGCCCTGGAAGCAGCTTGGCCACAAAGGGCAGTTTTGAGAGTTTAAGTTAGTTTTAGGCACTCGTTTTGAGGAATTCCTTGTTTTGGGCAGGTGGCGAAGCGAGTGCTTCCCTCAACAAAGGTGTCCTGTTCCACCGGTTAGACCTTCCAGGGTGGATGGGTTGGGCTCCTGTTTGCATGAGCGAACTGAAGCAAAGCCTCTATCACCCGGACCAAAAGGGACACATACTACAGTCTCACATTCGTAATCCAGTCATGTTCAGATGGCATAAACTCCAGTTCAGATGGTTCACACGGATTAAACGTGAAAAGGATGCTCCAAATGGTGTATATATATATATATACATGTATGTATGTATACTTGAAGAACCCGTGCCATTTCCCGCCGTCCCTCGCGTCTTCCCAGCCATTGGGCCACGAAAGAAACACGATTGTAGGACCCGCCGTATCATTTGGACCCATTTGGGAAAAAGAACATGTGCTTATCATTATTTTTTCCCCATTTGAAATGGACTTCATCTTTCTTTCAACTCACTGCCAAAACGGCTGTGGCTGGACATGAGATGGCAGTCGCGCTATCTTTCTTTCAATGACCATGTGTTTCCTCTGCTGGTTTTTTCTTTTCTCTGTGTCTCGCGTTGGAACGAGGACTCACTAGGCTACCACGCTTCACGGCCCACTGCTTGATCTCGGGTCCCGTGAGACCCGTGGCACCAGGGCCTCAGCAGTGGCATGAGTGTGGTCGGTGCCAATGACGGCCTCACCGCACTCATGAAGGCCACCGGGCGTTCTGCAACGGGTCGGGTGACAAAGGTGTGCAACGGGTCACGGGTCACGGGACCTGCGGCGCGAAGCCGCGAAGCGTTGGTGCTTTTGGTTCGTGGTTGCTTTGTTTTTTGTTGAAGAGTCACCAGTCACCTATCCAGGCGTCCGCTGAGCATCACCATCGGCCACCATCGGTCACCATCGGTCGTCAAGCTTCGATGCGGAGCACAAAGCGATTGAACCCAGTCGGTTGTTTTTGGGTCACATCGTCTTTTAATTCATGATTCAATTGCGTTGCTAGTCTCGGGTGTGTTTTTTCCTTCATGCGAGGGACAAATACACGTCCCATAGTCTTTGGAGCCCTTGGCTGTTTGAGATTCTCTCAGATCCTGTTTCATTGGTGAACCAGCTCACTCAGTCGAGGTGAGAGCTGGTTCAGATGCAGCCATGCCTCCTGGCCCTTTGGAGCATGGCTGGGTGGGGAACCTCAGCGCGACAGGTGGTCACGAGCGGTCCACATGGGTCCTATTGGACAGTGCGGAGTCTGCGGAGGGAGCATCTCCGTCGTTCGGCGCAGCTCCCTTCGACAGACATGACCTCGCTTGGCCAATGATCCATCCGTGGCCGACCATGGCCGCTGTATTGGCCCTGGTGGATCGAGGTGTGGGCGAGCCTCTGCAGTATTTGCCTCCTCTTTTCAACCATGCCCGGCGCCGAGCTCTGGCGGAACCTGAGAACTGAGCGGAACCGACTTGGAGCGGTCGAATGGCGCGCAGTGGCGCGCGCAGTTCGCGAGCTCTGGCCCAGGGGCTCAAGGGTTCGGAAGGTCCAGTCGTCACGGCTGAAAAACGACATGTGCCAGATTCCAGCTGAGAGGGATAAAGGGTTGTCATGGCATATACCTGTTCGATCCTTTTATCTTATATTATATTTTTAAATTTCAATATATAAACGGATGAACAGGGCTCTTACATGTCAGAAGGACCTCTGAGGCCCACCCCTGTCACCAGAGATTGTTTGATGCATGTTTTGCTCACCAGTGGTTTAGGTCCAGGTGTTTCTGAATTCCATGTTTTGCCACACCTTCACCGAATGCATCTTCACCTTCACGGATTTCGTTCTCAGGCCCCCCGGCAAGACGGTGGGCTCTGAGCTGGCCGCGCCGCACGCGGTGGTGTCTCGGTCGCATGAGTCGGCAGACCGACTCAGGTGGTCGAAGCCTTGCACCCGGGTGACCGCCGGGTGATTATGGGTGACCTTTGGGAGTTGGTAGGGGCGGGTGCTCCGACTTCATCCATACAAGGACTCTGACTGGAACGACTCGGGAGTATACCCTCCAAGCATGACTTGGGAGTACCTCCTGCTCAATCCCGGCATCCTGGGATTGTCTTGGAGTCTTCAACCCCCTTTGAAGATTTAACGATGGCCCAATGGGTCCTTCGTCTACGAACTTATCATTCATCTGACTGGGCTTGCACGTCTTCTTGGTGGAGACATGCCAGAAGAAGAATCCTCAGCAGCTGCAAATTCAAATATATGGGGCTTGCGTTCATGATTAGCACAGGGCGCATGACCCCATGATGATTCGGCTTGTATTCTATTCATTCTCATGGTTTTCCACTTATCCAACCATTGCTCTTGTTGTGTGCAAGTTCCACATCAGCTTTGGATATATAGTATAAGTAGAAAATAGATGGTCAACACACCACAACACAGAAGAACCACGGACTCCAATGGACCAATTCTTTTTGGTTTTCCGGAGGATTTGTTTTCAAGCGCACGGGAACGAGGAGGACAGCTCTCGGTCGTAGGGCGTAGCGCCGAGGGGCGCAACGCTCATGAAGAAAAGGGGGGGGGCTCCTGCGTTCGGGAGTTTTTCGGGTGGGCCGAGGACGGACTGGGAGTTTTTTGGGGGCAGAGAAGGGACCCATCGCAACCACACGGTGGCGGACACGGATCCGCGAGGGGCGCCGAGGAAACGAGAGCCAGCGGTCAGACCACATCGGATGTTGGACGGATGGACGGATGGACGGATGGACGGATGGACGGCCTGACCCTGACGGGTTAATTTACACTTCCAATGTGGATGTGTTCGGAGCGTCCTTCGTTTTTCGTTGGGACCACAGAAACGCCGTTTTGGTTGTCGCTGGATTTCTTCGAAACGGTCCCGCCCCGAGGTCGATGTGAGGCGCCAACAGTTGGGATGTTTTGTGTTCCGAGGACCTGAACGAAGCATGTTCAGGTAATGAAGAAGAAGTGGCCAGTAATGAAGAAGTAATGAAGAAGAAGAAGAAGTTTCATTCATTTCTTCATGACTTATTCATTACTTCTGGTGTTCCATTTCTTTTTTAGTCATGCAGAAGTCACCAGTGAAAGGTGTTGAGTCTTACCCAGAGGCACTGATCACATGGACATGGAAAATGGCCTGCGACGCTCATCAAACAGCCCCACGGGTCCTTGAACACGGAGCGCTGGGTTCGACCCCTTCATCCCCTCCAGAGGATTCGCCGACAAGTGTGGTTGCGTTTACTGTAATCAGAAACTATCATTTGATGCTGTCTAAATACCTGCAACTCCCGAGCCTTTAATTTAGTTTGCTGTAATCCACAATTCACTGTCATTGAACTACTGTACATCAGCCTATGCCTCTTGAGGTCCTAGCTCTGCTCTGGGTGCTTTTGTCGTCTTGCTTTATTTTTGTTTTTTGTTCCCTTTCTTCGCTCTGGTTGGTTCTTCTGGGCTTCAGTGTCCTTCTCTCTTGAGGGTGTTACCTTCTTGATCCCATTATCATTATCCTTAGTGATTGTATGCACTGACACCCCGGTACCCGGTACCCCTGAGAGGGAAAGGCCGCTGGGTGGCACTGGACTCGTTTTGGCAAGTATCGTTGGCTGATGGAGTTGGCTGACCGAAGAGGAACAGGTTCTTGGGCACAACCTACACGTGTATTTTGGAAGCTCCCGCCTGGGTTTCTCAACTGCCAGTAGAATTCGATTTCCTTTGGTGGTTCCGGATGTTGGCGCGACTGCAGGCTCCTGCATGTAACTGACGCCGGCTCCTCAACTTTGGGCACATGAATCGTGAAGGAGGAAATGTTCGGGAATCCCCAAACCCAACAGCTAAGGCACATGTCATTTGGTGTTGAAACGCGAGTGGGAAATGCTGGTGTGGTGTGAGCAAAGCTCTTTGAGGAAATGCTCATTCAAATGCTCCATCGCGGGGCGTCGTGGGCCCCGACTTTGGGCGCTTAAAATCGTTGCTACCCGTCTTAGTACCATCTATTGAACTCCTAGCTTGGTGGTGATATGGTCCATTATGTATCAGGACCCTCGCGTTTGGTCCTGAGTCCTTGACCCGCTCGTCCTCGTCCCAGCGAAGTTGACGACACACAGGTGGACCGTGAAGCACGAAGTCTCACGGTGGCCACCTTCAGCACACATCCCTACCGGCTAAAGACCGAAGGTGCGATGGGAAGGACAGGAGTGAGGGAGAGTCACCCAGTTCCAAGAGTGACGGGCACCAATCGCCTGCAGCTTGCTGTAGATGGTCATCAAGGTAGGTTTAGCTTGAGAAGACAAAGAGCAAACTGGCTCAGATTGTATTCAATCTTTCTTTTCCTCTCTCACTCTCTCACTCTCCCTTGTGTTTCAGCATCCCCAAAGCAGATGCGGATTTGTCTCAGAATTTGGACCTGCTCCAAAGAAGAAGCCAACTCTTCAAAAGACCTAAACGATGTCCACCCACGCTTCTCTGGAAGTCCGAGCCCTGCTGTCCACCCCTTCTTCACCTGTCCGTCACCCTGGAGCTCCCAGGTGCTGAAGAGGGCAGAGCCTTGGGGGACATCCCCGTGGTGTTGCCTTGCCGGCCAGTGTTTGGGTCGGAATTGGTCGAGTTCTGGCAAGGGGGACCCCATCAATTGGAGGGAGATCGTGTGGAGGAAGGTGGGAAGGTTTGGGAAGTCGGAAAGAGCAGAGACGAGACGGGAAGTCGGAAGCCATGTTTTTGCAATCCAGGACCACCAGAGGAATTAAAATATCAGATTTGCTGAGATCATGGATCCAATAGGGGCCTCAGAGTTTGACCAGGGTTTTGACTCAGGCACATGTCATCTCAGAAGCTGCAGGTGTATGACTTTCCCTGCTTTCTGACGTCTCCACCACGCAGCCTCCAGGCTTTGGCTTTAGCATCTCTCTCTCGTCACGGATGAAAGGGGGGCAAGGTTCGCCGGTTTGTTTCTCAAGCCAGACAGCCACACAGCTTCTTCTATTTTTGAAGGAAACAGCTCGATCAGCCTCTTGCACCTAGACTTGCGAAGCGACACATACCAGTGTGAAACCTCCTGGTGTGGACTGGGGCCTGTTCCGCGTGCGACATTGCCGTGCGCCATGATCCTCTTCCGACACCGTGCTGCGACTTGGCCTGCATGGGTCGTGTTTCTTGTTACTAGTAGCTACTTGCTCCTAGTAGTACGGCCAGGAGCCCCTAGTGGCTTCTTGTTCCTAGTAGCGATGCCCTTTGCCCCTAGAAGCTTCTTGCCACTTGGTATCGACTGGCCCATGTCTTGACATCATGTTGCCCCTTTGCACTCGTTGTTCACTAAATATTTGGCATGCACTCCTTGAAACGAGGTCTTGTCTTGCCGGTTTTACTTGCAGCCAGGTTCGAGGTTCGTTCTGGGCAGTGCTCTCCGTATGACCTTGACAGTGGCTCAAATGTTCAGGCGCATCGCTACGCGATCGTGAGGTGGAGGATCTTATAAGTGGTAGTCTAGTCTATAGAATATTGAATCAATTAAGTTCACTGCCACTTATAACTTATAAGACATGCTCGGACGAGTGATCTCCAAGCCTTTGCAACCCGAGGTGGCCACTCATCGCTTGTGCCGGCGGTTCTCTGGGATTGAGACAGAGTTCACCATTGCACCGACCCTTGTAGACGAACAACATCGGACGAGTTTTTCCTTTCTTTTCCGGGGTGCAGACGGGTGCAGATCCGATGACGAAACATGTCCGCCGAAGGAGAAGACACCATTTTTTGTTAAATTTATTGCATTTCACACTCCTGAATCACAAATCTTGCGACTGTGCTGAAACCTTGAACATAAGATATGGTCCGTCGCGATCTAATAGGACCATTGAGTTTATACAGTACACTATATCTATACCATATACCCTAGGATTCCAACCACCATTAATTTCATAGGCTTTACCGAATCAACTAAGGATTTTAGACTACAAAAACCAGGTCAACCATGTTTTTAATGGTCTTGGAAGTCTAGGGTATATACATGTAAGTATGTATATATATATATACATACGAATATAGACTGCCGTGCTCATATGTCATAGCTGGGATTGCCAGAAGAACTGCACCACTTGGTCACATTCAAAGCTGCGTCTCTTTCAGAAACTGAAAAAAGCCTTCCCTAAAACCATCATTCTTTTCCGTTCGCTTCAGATAGCAAACTTCCCCGACCATCCCGCGACCCGCTCTGATTCACCTCTTGACGCTCCTTCCGCTCAGCGGGCGCGACCTTGAAAGCTCGTAAGGTACATCGATGTGCCCGAGTTGGGCTTTCAGAGATCAGTCCCTTGGATTTCATGGTGTACATGGGTGGTATTGGACCCCCAGCTTGGATAAGCTGGGATAGACAGGCCTAAAGGAGTGTAGTATGCTTGCAAGTTGGTAGTTCAAGATCAAACCAAGGACAAGTTCTGCATGCTCACCATCAAGTACCCTGCGTTTCAGGGACTGCCAGAGGAGGAGCGCCATGCAACTGGGCTGCATGTTATTGTGCAGCAGCCTCCGAGAGAGTTTGTTGTTTCAACAAAACAACTGTTTGACGGAAGTCCAAATTGAGAGCCTTTATGGCATGTATGCAAGAAGTTGCAAATTCCCCCATGGCCCCGCAAACGACCAGGCATTTGTTCTTTGCACTGGAACAGGGTTGGGAGAACCCATTCGAGATACCTGAGCAAGGTTTAGGGAACCACGAGGTGGTATACCTCTCTAATCGTGTTCGGGCCTAAGGAGCACCGGGCCTTTGGGGGCACCAAGGGGCCTTTCACATCCTTCGTAGTTTTGAAATAGTCAGGGCCCCAAGAGGATCAATTCGGTGGTGAATGTTTCTTGTTTAGACCAACTCGCTGCAACGCGTAGAACAAGAACCTGCCATTGTGTTCATGTATACATACAATCAGAATTCATAAGAGTCCATACACGTGCAGTCCTTCACCCCTGCGGTCACCGGTCACCAGTCTCTCTCGTCTCCAGGCGGTGTATGAGCAGAAGAAGAAACGACGGGCTCAGTTCGTGGAAGAACTCTTTGACCACTACGACGTGGCTCGATTCGTTCGCACCGGAACGAGTCCACGGGAAACAGAGCAGAATCCAAGGGATCCGGAAAGTCTGGCACTGGATTCGTGGTTGGGATTTGAGCCTTCGAAGATTCTACGGGTGTAATGAACCTCGGAATCCTCCAAGTGACTTGTGCGAGTTGGCATGGACAAGTTTCTGTCCGATTACTGTTCAAATGTTCCAAAAAAGAATTGACAAGTGGCCGTCCACACCTGCCACCTGAAATGGATTCTCTAGTTTGACTGCAGCTGAACCACATAGATGTTAGGAGACCCGCCTCCCAAGAGCAAACTTCCTGCCTTCAGTATTAAGACAGACCCATGTGTGGCGCCTGCATTGAGAGTCCCAAGTGCACCCATTTTGCTTGCCCACGATGGGATGTGCACTTGCCCACAAACTGCTCCACCAAGGTGAGCAAAACAGGCTATCTCTGCAAGGAGGGCCGATGCACGACACGTCCCGTCCTGGGGACGCGCGGTGCGCGGTTCATGTCTTCCGCCGGTGGACGGGACGTTGCGCTGCAGAAGGTGGTGGGCCGCACATCCTTTTCTGAAGATAGTTTTGATATCATTCTGGACAGGCTACCGGACAGGCTAGGGGCTTGAGGACTTCACATCACATTTTGAGTTTGGTCGTTTGGACCATTCTTTAGGACCTTGGAATTGGAGCTGTTTTGGGCTTGGGACTCGGACCAAATGACTCGAAGCCGCCCGGGATAGGACGAGCTCCAGAATGCGCTGAAAGAGATTGGTTTGGCCTTTGATGATGGAAGTGTCCAAGGGATGCTGCAGAGGAGGGGAAGGCACCTGGCCTCAAGCGGCTACGCCAAGTTGTTTTTGGGAGTTCAGTGGTGAGTGTGTTGTTTTCTCAATTTTCAGTGAAGTCAGAGTGCGACATGAAAGACAACGTATTTTGAACTGTTGGGTTTAGTCGAACCAGGGGTCAATAGGGTCTTTACGGTCTTTCACAGGTTTGACAACTGCAGCGAGAGAAAGTAGAGCAAATCTGTTCGGCGGACATCTCACCTGTCTCCATGCCTTCATCGACATGTTTCTTCCTTCATGCAGTGTTATGAATTTTCAAGTTCCCCAGAAGTGCTAAAACAAGCCTGTTTGTGAAAGTGGAATCCGATCCCGTCTCCCTGCCTACTTGGAGGACATGCCACATTTGTTATATAAGTAAGTCCTTGAATAGTCCTTGACATGGGGAAAAAGAAACACTTGAAAAAGGAACACGGTGAACAAAAGCTAGAGCCACGCTCGACCAGCTTGCTGACTGAGCTTTGCTTGCCAAAGCTTCAGCTCTGCTCAGGAAGGAAAAACCGGACGACGCACTGACCATTCAGCGCAGCGAGTTTCCGGACGTGGTGAGAGAGGCCGGTGACGCCGGGACCGGTCGGAGGGAGGACGAGGACAAGGACGGCGTCCGAAACCGTTTGAGACGAATTGGCCACTATCCACTTCAAACGAGAACTGGTTGCCCATCCTCCAAGCTGCTTTGGACCAAGACGAATTCTCCGCGCGACAAGTGGGACCAAGCTGGCTTGGTTTGTTGCTCTCGCCCATGATCTTCCGCAAAGAGGCTTGGGGTCAAATTCCCCGCATGACCTTCAGTGACCAGCTGGGGCACAAGCTCGCAAACCTCTACCAAGGCAGGCACGATGGCGTCGTCATGTCCGGAATCTGCCATCAAATTTTGTTACAAGATTTACAAGGTTTGATCGACAGATGCTTTCTTTGAGTCTTTCATATAGAGATTCTTAACACACGTCAAATGTGCTTCTCCATTTGATGCAGGACTTCAAATCTAGCTGAACTTTAATATCTTATATACTTTTTGACAAGCTTTTGAACATTTGGACTGGACTTCGCCACTGTTGGACCGGACCATGATTCTCGACACTAGTGCAGGGTTCATGTACGCTTGCTCAAAGGCACCTTAAGGTGGAAGGAGGACATGTCTTGGGACCATTTTTCATCACAAGCTTACCTCCCGAACCAACTGGCTTTGTTGCAGAAGATCGCCGCGATGATCCAAGCGCTTGGAACGAAGAAAACAGCCTCTTCTGGCCAAACAAGAGACATCGGCGTGGCACGGAGCCGTTGCCGTGGCACCGAGGCCAGGAGCCTTTGCACGGCGATCGTGCGCTGATGTTTTTGGGGAAGACCTCGCCTGCTGGATGGGCGCTCCGGGCGGCTTTCTGGCCGAAATGGGCGACAGGAGGACCCACCATGGGCCTGGTATGCGCAGATGGACGTGAAGGGAAGTCACTCATTGGGACGCAAACACATGCGCAGGAGGTGCGTGAATGGACAGCATCCAATCTCTGAAAGAAAGAAAAAAGGGTCCAAAAAAGCCGAAAGCCGAAAGAAGAGGATAGAAAAGGTGTGCCCAAATGGGAGCAAACGTCGCGTCGAAAAACGGAGAACATCCTCCCCCGATCGGCAAGAATCCTCCCCCGATCAGAGGACGGTCCTCGTCTCAGCGTGGATTTCCTCGCTTCGGACGGCGCTGAGGTCCGAAACCTTTGCCCATATGCGCTCCGTGGCTGCCAGATCTTGCAGAATGTCTGCAACAATCCGGAGTTCAATCCGGAGTACATGGAAGCCTGGATGGTGGACCGAACTGTTTGAGTGGGGACAAGCCGGACTGTTTACAGGTGTGAAGCGGAGACCATTTGGATGGAAGCCGTCTTTCTTTCCAAATGACTCGCGAGCAAGGACTTTTCGGTCACCTGGCGATGCGGTTTCTGTGTTCTTTTCACGCCCGGACTGACCAAAGAAGTGCTCTCTTCCCCCACTGGTCGGTCAGTTCTTCCGTTGAATTCCGTTGACTTCTGCGCGCTCAGTCCTCAAACAATGGATGTTCGGGGGGCTCCATGCTCGTTTGAGTTGCTGCGTGAAGAAACGGGGACCCACTACACTACACATCAGCGAATAGCCAGAGAACAAAGTTGGAGCAAACCCTTGAACCGCCATAGAAGCTATACATATACCTCAGAAGCTATAGAGGCCAGTTTCAAGCCCAACATGAAGAACCATCGAAACAGCGCCGCCTTCGGCGCCATCGGCAGGACTATCACGGCGGCCCGGTGCGCGACGTGGAGGGCGTGGCGGCCGCCGCCGCGGCCGTAGCGCCCACGGCGGAGGGGGGGCTCTGTGTGCGCTTGGACGCTGTGGACCCGCCAGGCGAGCGGCCGCGGCGCAGAGGGTTTGGGGGAGGAAGGATGGAGAGTGGATCTTTCAGTGATGGCTGGTGAGATAGGATGAGAAGGATGGAAACTGAAGGCTTGTTTCACTTGCTTCTTAATGTTGAGATATGTTGAGGATTTTGCTTGGCTTCACCTTGAAAAAGGGACAGAGGGGGAATGCATTTTTGCTCTATTCTGGGCTTCTATCGGATTTGTTGGTAGAAGATTCGTTGAGCCGCTGGACTCTCCCATTACTCCATCATTACTCAGATGAGCTGAGGATGAGCTGAGGTTTATCAGATTCTCAGGAAAATTGGACTGAGCTCGTAGCTCAAAAGAAATCGTTGGTCGCCTTTACCTGGAGAGACAAGCCCTGGGCGGCCTGCCGATTGCGGCCAGCCGATTGTGTTCAACCGTGGCGACGAGCGGTTTCGACCCCCAGAACTGCCAACCAGTGGGTTTGGATGGTTTCTTGAGTTCTTGGGGGGCTGAGGCGGCCGGCCACTGTTTGGGGGTCTCTTTCCTTTGCAGGTGAGGGCCTTGAAACGGTCTACGTTCCATTGAGAGGCCTTGCTTTGCCAAAGAAGTCTGGGATCCGCTCCTGGTTGGGCTTCTGACAAGTCAACTTCGTCTGGTTTTTTTTCCGCGTGAAGATCCAGTGGTGGTGATGGCACACTTGCATCACATACCTGGAGCTTCAACTACCTCCGGAGAAGGTGGTTGGGGTGGATTTGGTGGGTCTAACTACTGTACCTTCTGCGGATGTGGGCCAGGTGCCCTAGGGTTGAATAAGTGAAGAGGGTTTTTGAGTTTGTGGAGTTTGAGCGACGCACTCGGACCTCCCCAATAAGGTGGCAACAACACATACTACTAAGGGGAGAAGGGATTTTCAGTCGATCCAACGCCGGAAGCCAGTTCAGTGGATCTCAGCCTGTGTAGTGTACAGATTGCATTCGTTTCCAGCAACGTGATCCAATGCCGATCGCTGGGCAGACGTCTGGAACGCAGACATGGTTTCCATGGAACATGACCACCGGAAAGACCATTGGCCGCCTCAGTTCCTGATACTGTACGCCACTCTCAATGAAGCTGCCACCCTTGGTCTGGGCTAGGAAGTTCGCAACTCCTGGGAGAAGGAACAGAATTCCAGTGAAAGCAGGACTTGTGGCCCCCTTCGGCCTTGGTGGAACTTCCAAAACTCTTACAACAGGAGATGGGTGTGAACCCCGGTGGACACCCCGGTGGATGCGATTTGGGCGGGGAATTCCACCGAACTTTTGAACTTTGGAGTCAAGTAGATCATGCACCCAAGTAAATCATAGTAGATCATGACAGTCTGCTCCCGAAAAGCACGTCTGCTTGGCGCGGGGCTGACGTGCCACACGCCGCTGTCACTGCTGTTTGGGTGACGGTGACTTGCCTCGGAGCAAAAATGAGTATACCCGCTGACTGTGGGGGTGGGCTTGCGTCATCTCTCCAAGATTCAGCGAAAAGACGCGACTTGACCCGAGGGAGATCCTGTTCCAACCTGCATTCGCAGGGGAACGAAGGGTAGATAATCACAGGATCAAAATAGTTGGATCATTCACTCATCATTCCAAGTTCCAAGCTCTTGTTCATCCAGCTGATTTCGCTTTTCGCGCTCTGCAAGCCGAGACATAGTCCACAAAAGGGGACGGAATCCCTGGCGCGGAATGTGGGCTTCGGGGTTGTCTGCCATTTCCAGACATCAGCATTCACCGCGCTGTGATCTTTTGATGTTCCTTCCGTGAGCGCGCTTTGCATCCAGCGTAGCGCTGAAAGCTCACGTACTCTCCCCACTCTGATGACACCAAGCCAAATATATACTTCAAAGTCAAAGTGCATGATGTCGGCTTTAGAACTTGCGCCATATATTCCCCATGTTTTCAGCGGTTGAGGTACATGCAAAACCCATAATACTTTGGAGGCATCGCTACTAGGAGCAAGGACGCCACTTATAGGGGCTCCTGGCATCGCTACTAGGAGCAAGGACGCCACTAGGGGCTCCTGGCCCTACTACTGCTCCTGGCATCGCTACTAGGAGCAAGGACGCCACTAGGGG